AATTTTTTGTTACTATATAAATTATTTACCATAAATTAAAAATATAATTTATATATTTGTAAATATTTATGTATACTAATTTTAAATATAAATTATATATTCAAATATAGTATTATTTTTATATGTAATTTATTATAAATTTTAATTATATAATGAACATGTTTGTATATTGTACAAACTTAAATACCAGTGATTACTAATATCAGTAAGAAAAATGACATGATTCTGTGAAAAAATAAATTAACTAATGATTTAAAGAAAAAAGTGGATAGTTATTATTTTTAAAGAGGAGAATTATTTTTTATTATTTTATCTTTAAAGATAAATTGATGAAAAAATAAAATACAATATAAAAATATATTTATCTTTTAAAAAGGTGAACATAAAAAGGATATTTCTTTTACATATTATTATAAATTATTATTATTATTATTATTATTATTATTAAAAATAGTTACATTTACTAATACAAAGACGACATATCAGTTATAATGAATATTCTATATCAATTGTATAAATGTAAATGTCACCTATATATAATAAAAATAATTTTCTACATCAATTAAATTTTAATGATATAGAAGTATGAAAATCTATAAATAAATAAATAAAAATAAAATAAAATAAAAATAAATAAATAAAATTTAAAAAAAATCACAACAAAGAACTCCATTGTTAAGAACAACAAATTGCTTCCCACCCTCCCACTTACTTCCCTTTATCTTGACCTTATCAATATCATGGTTATTAGCAGCGGAAGAATGTATTTCGTATCTATGTAAAAAAAAATATTAAATAAATTAATATTTTAATTCAAAAAATGGAAAGTTCTTAATTTTAAAGAAAATAATTATATTTTTGTATATATTTTAATTTATTCTTAAATATAAATTAGTATAGGAAAATAATAAAATATAATATATACTAGAAGGGGTTAGTCGAGGGGTAAAATTGAATACTCCTTCATTTGTGGTTGAGGACTACATATATTGAAAGGAGATAATTGAAGGAGTAAAATTGAATACTCCTCTATTTGGAGCCGAGGGCTACAAATAATTGAGAAATGTTGGTAAAAGTAATTAAGTAATGAGACTTTAGAATTGACTTGTCTCAGCCCATGCCTAATGGTTTTAGGGGTAAAAGGTATACTTTTTACATTTATTACAATATTAATTATAAAACTAAGGATTGACTTGAATGTTAGAGTTTTTATAAATATCTTTCTTTTTTCTCTTGGTCATATATGACTGAAGACTAATAATCACATTATTAAAGGTAAATATAGTGTATTTTGGACTCTTTGACTAAAGATAACCTTAAATTTGAAAATAGACCGGGTCGGGCAAAAAAAATTAAAGTTTTATAGTAGGTGAGTATATTTTAACCCGGTCCACTTTGACTTGGCTCACCCGGGCTGAACCTGTGGTGGGCCGGGTAGCCCACCAACCCATCAATTTTTTTTACAATAAAAATTTAAGTATGATTTGTAGTTAATTTTGTATGATGGGGTATTAAAAATTTTTATTTTAGACTTTTATCATGATTTGTATTTAATTTTGTATGATAAGTTATGACTTATGACTATTAATGATACTAATTTTATGACTATTATGTTAATTTATAATTAATTTAAAATTTTGAATTTTGTTGATAATTTTTTTTAACTTTTGGTGGGCTGGTGGGCTGGCCCGTATAACCCACCAACCCGTGGTAGGCCGGGCCGGGTCAAAATTTTTTTTGAGAAAATCAAAAGTAGACCGAGTTGGGTTGACTTGTTTTTAAAGTGGGTCAAGGTGGGCCGGCCCACATGGGCCAAGCTAGCCCGTTTTGACAGCTCTAACTATGAGGACAAAGACATATGGGATAAGGATACGAAGTAATGAAATATCTCTATATCCCTATGTATAATTGTCATTAAAAAAGTGGATATTGAAAGAAGATATCCCTTCATATATTGTTATAAATCTTTAAATATAAATTAACGAAATAAAACAAAATACAATACAAGAGTATAATTTGTTAAAAAAAGTAAATACCAAAAGAGAGTATTCTCTTTATATATTGTTTTCAAAAAGAAAACACATCTTTTTCTTAAAATGCATGGAATGAAACAATAATTTTTTTATGGTGATTAAAACAAAATTGTGAAATACTTTGAGACTAAAAATATATTTTTATTTATTTATTTGACTAGTTTATTTTTTAAATATTATTTACTTTTATTTATTTATAAACATAAAAATTTAAATTAATATTAATTGTAATTTTTATTATATTTTTATTTTTACTTAATTCTTAAGTATTTTCAATACCAAAAAAAAATTTAGTTCACTTACCATAAATAAGAAAAAAATAATAGTACATTTCATATTATGAAGTTAATAATTTTAACATAAAGAAAATGTTAATTATTCTTCTTCATATATATGTATTATCCCTTAAATTGATTGATTGATGAAAAGACATAGAAATACTAAATATTTACTATTAGATAAAATATACAAAATATGTGTAATATATTCTCTGGAAACTTTGACTGTATTAAGGTTATCTCTCTCAAAATCATTCTTTTATCAAATCTAAAATTTTGAAGTTTGAAAACCAACTAGAGTATCAATCAAATCAACTTAACATTAGTAAAATATTATTTATTTAATAATATTTTAATACACTAAACATAATTTTAATAAAATGTAATTTTTCACTTATTAACTATTATAACATTTTGGTGTAAAAAAATATAACTTTTAAGATACCCTTTAGAATGGCCCAGCTAGTTTTAAAATAAAACTCGAATATGGCACTATTCTGAAGAGAGCATTGTAAACGCAGATCTGTTCAGATTTTGGTATCATAGGTAATATAGGTTTTTATTTTTATTTTTAATTTTACAACAATTGGTGACATAGGTTATATAACTTGCATGTGCGTGTGTATATATTAATTTAACTACTCAGAAGCATAGAGTAAAAAGCATCAATTGAACCATGGCTACGCTAATTGCTCCTTCCAACCACTCTCCTGTGGAAGATGCTGAATCTATCCGAAAGGCTGTCAAAGGTCATATGATCCAACTTCTCATTTCCTTTAATTTTTTAACATTCATTTAAGCATATATTGCTAGTCCATGATCAAATTTTCAATCCTTCATTCACCCATAACAATCATTTATCAGTGTAAAACATTGGGTTTTCCCCATATACAACACTAACAATTTGTTAGAAACTCATAATAGCTCATTAGTATGGCATATTTGTTTTTAAGGGGTTGATTTATCTATCTCTATAAAATTATTGTAAGTACTGTTAGTGATATTCTTCTATCAAAGTTAGAGTAATATGCATTGACATATAATAAGATATCTTATTGTGCAAATTTTTAAAGTAAAATTCTAATTCCGACTAGAGAATAACATCACCTATGATATTGTTCATATTACATGAAATTTTTATCCTTGACTAAGTTTTCAAAAACTTTGTAGGTTGGGGAGCTGATGGAAAAGCCATTATATCAATACTAGGCCATAGAAATGCTACCCAAAGGACCCAAATCAGAGAAGCATACCACAATCTCTTCCAAGAGGACCTCATCAAACGCCTTGAATCTGAGCTCTCTGGTGACTTTGAAGTACACAAAATTGGCAATAACAATTTCAAAAGTTTTGGATGCTTTTATTATTGATTCACTAATGAATTATTGTGTGGGGTTGTACCAAACAGAGAGCCATGTACCGTTGGATATGGGAACCTGCAGAACGTGAGGCTTTGTTGGCCAATTTAGCTCTCAAGAGTGCTGACAAAAACTACCAAGTGATAGTGGAAATTTCCTGTGTCCTTTCACCTGAAGAGCTTTTTGTTGTGAGGCGTGCCTACCACAACAGATACAAGCGTTCCTTGGAGGAAGATGTGGCTGCTAATACCACTGGCCATCTTGGCCGGGCAAGTCATATAATTCAACAAAATTTAGATATAGTTCTTTAAATATGCCATGTTGATATTGTTCTTCGATCAGAATTGAAGTTTCATATGAGTAATCTAGATTGACTTTTAATACAAGCTTTTATTATACTAATTGATGAGATGAGATTCTAACTTTTTGATAAACAAACATAAAAATACTTGAAGGAAATAATTCATGTATGTTTTTTCCTGCATAATTTTGTACATTTATTTAGACTAGCTATGGCATTTGAAGAGAATGAAGTGAAGAGAGAATTGCTTAAGGGGTAGTTATTCTTGAAAAATGTACTTTTTTTCAAGAACAAGTAAATTTTTTGGGCTTCATAGTTGGCAAAGAGGGAGTACCAAGTTGACTCCGAGAAAATAAAGGTTATCCAAGAATGGCCCACCCCAAAAAGTGTTGGAGAAGTTAGAAGTTTTCATGGCTTAGCTAGCTTCTATAGAAGGTTTGTCAAAGACTTAGCTTCTATAGAAGGTTTGTCAAAGACTTCTCCACCCTTGCATCCCCTCTTAATGAGCTTGTTAAGAAAGATGTACCTTTCCTTTGGGGTGAAGCCCAAGAAAAAGCTTTCAAAACCCTAAAAGAGAAACTCACCAATGCACCCATTCTAGCTCTACCAAATTTTGACCAAACCTTTGAGCTAGAATGTGATGCATCCGGTCTAAGCATAGGTGTTGTGTTACTTCAAGGAGGTCACCCCATCGCTTACTTTAGTGAAAAACTCCATGGGGCCACCTTGAATCATCCCACCTATGACAAGGAACTCTATGCCCTCATAAGAGCTCTACAAGTTTGGGAGCACTACTTAGTGACTAAAGAATTTGTTATACACACCGGCCATGAGTCACTCAAGTATCTTAGAGGGCAAGGGAAGTTGAATAAAAGGCATGCAAAGTGGGTGGAATATCTTGAACAATTCCCCTACATCATCAAATATAAGAAGGGAAAGAGCAATGTGGTAGCCAACGCTCTTTCAAGGAGGCATACCTTGCTCTCCACCTTAGGAACACAAATACTTGGCTTTGATGATGTAAAGGAATTGTGTGAGCTTGATTTAGACTTCCAAGCCACTTATGCCAAATGTCTCCAAAAGCCTTTGATGGATTCTATCTTCTTGAGGGGTATCTTTTTAGAATAGGCAAACTTTGCATACCCCAAGGATCCATTAGGAAGCTTTTGGTCAAAGAGAGTCATGAAGGAGGTCTCATGGGCCATTTTGGGGTTGAGAAAACCATAAGTTTCTTAAAGACTAAATTTTATTGGCAACACATGAGAATAGATGTCCAAAGGCATTGCTCCAAGTGCATTACTTGTTTAAAAGCTAAATCAAGAATAATGCCTCATGAACTCTATACCCCCCCTTCCTATAGCTAGCTCCCCTTGGGTAGATATTAGTATGGACTTTGTGCTTGGACTTCCAAGGATTCAAAGGGGATTTGACTTCATCTTTGTGGTAGTAGACCGTTTTAGCAAAATGGCTCATTGTAGACGAGCATCAGACGACCTAGATCGCACAACTAGAATGGACAACGAAGCAGCACTGAGAAGACTAATCGAATAGGTCGAACAGATGCGGCAACAACACGCCGTCGACCTGCAAAGCATTCGTGCCAAGCACGAAACTGACCTAGCAGCGCTGCGTGCCGTGAATGAATCTGACCTAGCGGCGCTGTGTAACATAGTAGGTTAGGTGATTCAATAGCCCAGAACGGGCCGTTCCAAACTACTAATTGACCTATAAATTGTAGTTGAGAACGAGCCATTCTGAAAGGAGAACGAGCCTTTCCAAACCTCAAAACGGGTCGTTTCGGAGGGAGTACGTGCCATTCTGGATGGAGAATGGGCCGTTCTGGATGAGTCCTAGAATGGACCGTTCTGATTTTAGAACAGGCCGTTTTGCATGTAAATTTTGCACATGATGAAGGGGTGCAGAACGGGCCGTTTCGGATTCGGAACAGGTCGTTTTGGCCACGCCTGAATGTCTATAAATAGAGTTGGGTGGTTGAAGAGAAATAGAGGTTTTTAGAGAGAAGTTTTAGAGAGAAGGACTCTGGACTAAGAAGCTTGCTTTGGGTGGATTGAAGTTCCGTGTTGAGCTTCGGAAAGGGAATTCCGCTTCTTGGCTATTCTGAGCCAATCTTCAGGTAAGGGAAGCTAGATTCTAAAGTTGTTGGTTGTATGTGAGTTGGGAACTCATTTGGGTGCTTAGGTTGATTAGTATTAGTTGTGTTATGTGATGAAAATATTGTGTTGCTAATATATGATTAAATGTTTATTAATGATGTTGTTGGAAATGCATGTTGTTGTTAAGTTATGAAGTTGTTTACAAGTTGTGTTGATTTATGATATTGTTGAAGTTGTTTAAAGTTGTTAAGTTGCATTAAGTTGATATTGTAATGACTATAGTTGTTTAATTAAGTTGTTTGCATGTTGTTAAAATTATTAAAGTTGCATAGTTGTATAATTGAATAAGAAGTTGTATAATTACATTGAGATGTATGATGAGTAGAAAGCAAAATGAAGAGATGCATGTTGAGTATAGAGTTGTATGTTACTATAAAGTTGTATGTTGTGCCATTTGTTGAAAAGATATTATTTTATGATGATTGAGTTGATTGTTTTAATTTTGGGCTAGGGTGTTAATTAGAGGGTGACACATATTTTTGGTGCCTCTTGGGCCTATTTTTGGTGTTAGAAAGGCTTAGGCCCAAGTGGAGGGCAAAGGTTGCATGGTCTTATCATGCACCTAGATATAGCCAATCTAAATCCAAAGATTCCATCCTTGGCCACCAAGTTGCATCTAGGGTTAATTTACATTTCATTTGGAGTGCATTTGCCTTGTGAATTTCGGCCATGCATACTCCAAATGCAACCCTAGATGCATCCCCTCCTATAAATACCCAAAATGCCCCACACCTTGTAAATACTTTGGATTATATGATATTGAGTGAGAAATATTTGCCTCAACATCCCTTCCTTAGTCACTAGGTTACGTTTGGCTAACCTTCTACTATCTCCACCATTGGAGAGTGAGAACCCTAGAGTGGCCTCCATCTACCTTTGGAGTGAGCCAACCTTTGAGCACCCAAACACTTCTGCCACCCTTCACCATATCACGCCTAGTTTCCTTTTTCCATCGTAAACATTCCTTTGCCTAACCTTTGGTGACCTTAGATCATGGGCAAGGTGACTCCCTTCAACACATCACTTACAACCATTGAAGGAGGGTCTCCATCAAATTGGGTTTTTAGTGTACAACCCAGCTAAAAAGTGTCATGGGCTTTTCCTTAGTGTTGGCTCACTCCTCCTCTAGTCTCTTGACCATAGCCTTAGTGACTGGACCCTTGGCCCATGGGCCTCCATCATTTAGGACTTTGTAGGGTGCTTAATACCTTTCCTACATGTAAACGATCCCTAAACCCAATTCTGACTATGAAGGCCATAATTGACTTTTCAAAAATCTTTTCTTTTTTTGATGTTTTGAGTAAAATATTAGTGACAACTCCTTCGAACCTTTTCAAAAACCATTGATCAAGGATTAATCTAGTTTTCGGGCATTCCCTAATCGATGAGACTTTCAAAATAGAGGACCAAACCATCTGTGGGTAAGATGAGAAGTTTTTGGGTTCTGACTATTTGTTGGATGTTAATTTGAGTATTATTTACTAATGTTTCTATTGGCTTGAATGGTGTTTATATATGATTTTAGACTCTATCCATATTGTTTATATGTGTTATACATTTGTGAGATATATTTTCACTTCTCTTGTTGTTTTTGTGGTTGTATTTCTCGTTTAAGTTGAACTTCATGCAAGAGTTGATCAGGTTATTTGAGGATTTTGTAAAAGGTTAGTTTTATGCCTCCATTTATGAACTTAGTTTGCTTATTTATTAATTGAAGTTTTCATTCAATAATTTAAGATGTGTGAACCCTTTTATAGTACAAATGAAGAAAAAATCTTTTTATTTAATATTTTAAAAAAATGCATCTTCTTAATAATATCATAATCAATAATTTGGAGTAGAAGGTTGTCACATGTCTCAAATAGAAATCGTAGAAGTTGATTTTGACAATAATGATTGACTAGAAAATATGATTTTTTTTATGCTAGAGATGATTCTTTCTAACGTGCACAAGTATATGATAATTTAGTTAGTGATACAAGGATATCTTTATATTCAAGTTGTACTAATTTCACATGATTGTTATTGCTATTAAGATTATTCGGTCTTAAGACAAAAAATGGATGAAGTGATAAAAGTTTTTCAAAATTATTTAAGTTGTTGAATGACATGTTTACACATTGCTAACACATAATTACAAGGTGAAGATATTATTTTTTATGAATATAAATTGTATAAAAATAATCATGCATGTCCAAACTTCATATTAAAAAAAAAACTTATGAACAACTTATTTCCAAACTTATAAATGTTTTTGCAAGCTTTTCTACTAAAAAAATAAATTCTTATACTAATCCTATACTTTCGTGATTAGGTCCGCACGAACGGTGGAACCATTTTGCCAAAAAATTTCACTTACTACTGTGACAAGAATGCACCGTCCTATGTAGAAAATTAAATTAAAAAAATTAAAATGCAGCCCAATGTTCATGCTAACGTTGAATTGTTTTAGCTAATTATTTTTATTTGTAGCACTCAAGTAAAATTCATCAACTCATCATATTTATAATATAAATATAATTCTTTATTTTCATTGCTAAAACAGGTCGACCATTTCAATAAATAAAAAAATTAAAAAGTTCTCCAAAATGTTGTTTAAAATATTAATTACATAAGTTATGCTCTTAGTACACCGACACGTCACTCGATTCGTCCCCAATTAGTATTCTTAATATTTTCAAATTTTGTAATTTCTTAGATTATTTTATTCTCCATGGACAATTTATATGAATGTGCTTGTTGAAGTGGCAGTTGTATATAGTGTTCAAGTTTCTGAGAGTAGAAAGCAGAGTATTGAAAATGTGTTAGGTTTTGTAGTGGTAACAAATTGAAGGGA